AAAAACACTTTTAAAAGGATCAAGAGGGGTGGTTCAGTAAAATTCAAAGAAAAAAAAACCCCAGAAAATCTTAGTGATACCTGCTTATCATAAGACATACTGGTGTTAAATGTCCTCTCTGTGTTGCTATCTTTATTTATTATCGTTTATTTACTTTACATTTTATAGCAGTTTTGATTTGACAGCAAAACTGATCATAGTAGAGATTTCCCATATATTCCTTGCCGCTCTGACACCCCTTCCAGCCATACCTTCCCTTAATATCAACACCCACCAGAAGAATGGTCCATTTGTTATCATTCATAAACCTACAATGGACACAACATTGCCACCTAAAGTCCATATTTTGTATTAGAGATAACTCTTAGTGTTGTACATTCTATGGGTTTGGACAAATATATGACATGCGTCCACCATTATAATATTATACAGGATGGTTCTTCTGTCCTAAAGTCCTCTGTGTTCCATTTATTCATCCCTCCCTTACTACAACCCCAGGCAACCACTGATTTTTTTTCACTCTCTCCATAGTTTTGCCTTTTCCAGAATATCATATAGATTGAATCATACAGTATGTAGCCTTTTCAGACTGACCTCTATCACTTAGCAATATGCATTTAAGTTTCTTCCATGTTTTTTCCTTTTTTCTTTTTTAAATTTATCTTTACATTTTATCACACACATTTACTTTACATATCAAAGAATTTTTGCTCATACTTCATAGTTCTTGACAGTTAATAAATAATTTTTGAAATTTCAAAAGCCTGATTTTTTTTTTTTTTGAGAGGTTTTGCTATAGGGCGCATGCGCACGCAAGAAAGACAGAGAGAGACAGAAAGCGAGAAATCACACACACACCACCCCCCGGGGGGATGGCCACGCCCCACAATCCCTTCTCCTCCATTCTCCTCTTGGGATCTTGGGCACGCACGCACACGTCCCCGGTGTGAGTTTAAGCCACCGGGTCCGGGACTCGAACTGTGGTCGACTACATGGGAGTTCAGTGACATAGCCATTATGCTAACTGCTGGTCCCAAAAAACTGAATTTTAAAGATAACTTCAAAATATTTGTTATAATTTTGTTTGTGACTCTATAACAATATTGACAGTACGGTTTTAAATATCTTTGAGAAAATATTTACATGTCATCTACAGAAACTGTTAAAAAGCAAACACCCAGCACACAACTCACACATAAATCTTCCCAGCTCAGCTCTGCCTATCAAGTATTCTGTGGTTTACCATCTTCTAGCAAAGATCGATCTCTCTTTCTCCCTTCACAGTGTTCCTCAAGGTAATCTTCCAGTTGGGGCTGCTCTTTTGCAATCTCTACTGATCACAGTGCTGGGCTGGAAAAGTCCTCCATGTCTTTTCACGGCTTGATAGCTCATTTCTCTTTACCACTAAATAATATTCCATTGTCTAATGTATGCCAGTTTATTTACCCATTCACTTACTGAAGACATCTTGGTTGCTTCCAAGTTTTGGCAATTCAGAATAAAACTTATAAACATCCATGGCAGGTTTTTGTGTAGACGTAAGTTTTCAGTTCATTAGAGTAAATACCAAGAAGTGCAACTGGTGATTTGAATGATAAAAAAAGTTCACATATGTAAAAACTGTCAAACTATCTTCCAAAGTAGCTATACCATTTTGTATTTCCACCAGCAATAAAGAAGAGTTCTTATTTTCCACATTCTCACCAGCATTTGGTGTTGTTAGTTATCTGAATTGTTGCCATTTTAATAGATGTGTGATGGTATTAATTTGCAATTCCTTAATGACATATGACATGGATCATCTTTTCATATACCTGTCATTTTCATATATCCTTTGGTGAGGTTCAGGTCTTTGGTCCATTTTTAATTGAATTGTTCACGTTCTTATTGTTGAGGTGTATTTTGAGAGAGTTTTTTTTTTTTTTTTTTTTTTTTTTTGCTATAAGGCATGGGTGCTTGCCAGAAAAACCAAGAGAGACAGACAGGAAGCAAGAAATCACTCCCCCCCCCAGGGGGAATGGCCATACCACAATCCCTTCTCCTCCATTCTCCTCTTGGGATCTTGGGCACACATGCACATGCACCCAGTGTGAGTTTAAGCCACCAGGTCCAGGATTCGAACTGCAGTCAACTACATGGGAGTCCAGTGACATAGCCATTATGCCAACTGCTCGTCCTCTTATTGTTGAGTTTTAAGAGTACATTATAGATTAGTCCTTTTTCAGATACATTTGCAAAAATTTTCTCAGAGTCTGTTGCTTGTCTTTTCATTTTCTTCATAGTGTCTTTCATAGAGCAGAAGCTTTTTAATTTTAATGAAGTCCAACTTATCAATTCTTTCTTTCATGTATACTTGCCTTTAGGGTTGTATCTAAAAAAGTAATTGCCAAACCCAAGGGCACCTAGACTTTCTCCTATGTAATCTTCTAGGAGTTTTATAGTTTTATATTTTACAATTAGGTCTGTGATCCATTTTGAGTTAGTTTTTTGGAAGAGCATAAGGTCCATGTACTTAGATTCAGATTCACATGTTTTTGCATGTGAACATCCAGTGGTCCCAGCACTATTTTTGGAAAAGACTATCTTTTCTCCATTATATTACCTTTGTGCCATTGTCAAATGTCAGTAACTATATTTATGTAGGTCTATTTCTAGACTCGTTATTCTATTTCATTGATCTATCTGCCTATTCTTCTGCCAATAACACAGTATCCTGATTACTGTAGTTTTATAACAAGTCTTAAAGTTGGGTAGGGCTAGTCCTCTAACTTTGTTTTTCTTCAACATTGTGTTGGTAATTCTTGATTTATTTTAATCTCCATAGAAATCTTAGAACTACTTTGTCTATACACAAAAAACAACTTACTGTGATTTTGATTGGGATTAAATTGAATCTAAAGAGCAGATTGGGAAGAGTTGTATGTCGACAGTATGAACATGAACATGTTCATGAACATGGAGTATCTCTTAATATATTTAGTGCTTATATTATTTTGGGGAATGCTAATGTAAATAGTATTGCATTTTTAATTTCAAATTTCATTTGTTCATAGAAACATGATTGTCTTTTGTATGTTAAACTTATATCCTGCAACCTTGCTATAATTGCTTATTAATTTCAAAGGTTTTTGTACAATTCTTTTAATATATTCATTACCTGCTTTTAAAACTTTGCTAAGCTGACTACAATAACATGTAAATGTCTAATATGCAGAACAATCATTGTATTCGTTTGCTAGGGCTCCCACTAAAAAGTACTACAGGCTCAGTGAGTTAAGCAATAGAAGTTTATGGTCTCAGTTCAGGAAGCCAGAAGTCCTATTGAGTTGTCAGCAGGGTTGGTTCTAAAGGCTGTGTGGGCACTTGTTTAAATATCCATTTTGTAAGACAAATAATAATGTGATTGAATGTGTGGAAGAAAATGAAATAAAAAAAAAAAGAAAAGAAAAACAAGTTATAAACAAACAAAAAATAAAGGCTGTGTGGGAAAATCTGTTCCAGGACTCTCTCCTTGGTTTGTAGATGGTCTTCACTGGGTCACATGGTCATCCCTCTATATACTAATCTCCTTTTTTAATAAGAACATCAGTAATACTGGATTAGGGTCTGCCCTAATAACCTCATTTAACCTTAATCACCTTTTTTAAACACCTCATCTTCAAATACTCTGAAGTACTAGGGGTTAGGACTTTAAGATATAAATTTGGGGGTGAATCCTATAATAGGCATATCCTTTAAATAGTAGAAATACATTCAATAGCAGTTAATTTTTAACATTCGAGCGATATTAATTTTTATCCTACTTTCCTGGGCTCTATAGCAGAAGCAAGGTGTCTAGATTTACAGTAAAGTACATTTTCATGTGGTAGTCTTGGTAGTACTCTACATTAGAAGCTCAGACATCTTGAAAATATAAAAATCACATGACAAGGATACAGAAGAGGAACATGGAATACAAGGATTCATCTCATAGGAAAAGCTTCCTTAGTGTAATCCCATATCTAGAATGAGTAAAGGAAACTTCTTCCTTCTCTCTTGTCTTATATCATGGGTATTCAAATTCTGTGTAATACCCAAAGGCATTAATCACTTTATGGGTTAAATGCATTTTCTGGGCTTGCCTAGAAATACAATTACCATGAATAACATTCTTTCTGAGGTAAATGTGTTGTGGATAAATACTGGTTTGTGGGACTGCTGGGGCTGCCTGTTAAGAGCCAGTTGAGGGAGTTTCATAAGATATGTGAATACTAGGGAATTAAATTGCATCTCTTGTCTCAATGTTATTCAACAGGGCCAATAAGAGACAGAACGGCCCTCATAAATAGAATCACATGGAGAATAAATGCCCAGGGAGAGACTATTGCTAAAAAGATGTGAACTAAGCACCTTTACCATTTGTGCCTGCAGCTCATGTGGTCTATCCCTGTGTCTCCCACAGAGTGGTTTCTCACTAGGTTAATTCAGCTGTACTGCTAGGGAACGAGAGTTGTTGGAACCGTCACCATAGACAACCCTGCTGCCCAAATGATCTTGGGTAGGACAGTCACTGAGATAGACATATGCTGAAAATCAACAGACAGGGACCATCGGGAATCTGTCCCTGAGTGGATTCAACCCAAACAAGGCAGGGAGGCTGTCTGGAGGTCAGTACACTGACTGAGGATATAGCAACAGTGGCAGAGAGAGAAACACATGCTCTAGTCATAAGACGACCAAGGCCTGGCTGAGTAAAACCTCCAGTCACAGTGCAATCTCCATGACTGGAATTCGACATATAAATGAATTCAACAAAAAACAAGACTCTAAAGAGCCTTTGGCTTTACCCAAGTTGTGTGTAGAATGACACCTTGGTCTGCCCACTCTTTCTGTTAAGACCTTTGCAAAATTCGATTACCAAATAGAAGTCCTAGTTTCAGAGGGTAAATTCTCCAGTGTAAGCACAAATGACTGAAGTGAAATGAAGTATCTAATGTATCAGCACCTGCAAATAACCTCACCCGTCAAAGGCGGAGCATGCTTGGGTTTTACTTTCTCAAAGGTCACTTTCTTGGGTGGTTTTTCAGAAGCTGAAGTCTGGGGTGCTGCCTCTTCTTGGCCACTTGGAGCATTAGGAAAAAGCCTCTTCAGTACTTTTTCAACAAACACTACAAAGACAAGAAATGAATGATTTATGGCAGTTTTATTTAAATCATCCATGGCTTTTATTGAAAACAAAGACATCCTGGGAAGCAGCAGTTAGCGTAATGGCTATGTCGCTGGACTCCCACGTAGTCGATCGTGGTTCGCGTCCTGGACCCGGTGGCTTAAAACTCACGCCGGGCGTGTGTGTGAGTGCCCCAGATCCCGAGAGGAGAATGGAGGAGAAGGGATTGCGGCGTGACCATCCCCCCTGGGGGGTGATTTCTCACTTTCTGTCTCTATGTCTCTCTCTGTCTGGCGAGCGCACGCGCCCTATAGCAAAAATCTCTCCAAAAAAAAACAAAAAAAAAACAAAGACATCCTGACAATACTTCCTGAGAGCCAAAAAGTCAAATACAGTGACCCCACCACTGGGCACTATACCCCAGGCAGCCCCCTAGACACAGCACATAAAGAACTCCCCTGCCCCCAACTGCAGACAAGTGTTTCTGGGATACAAAGGGAGGCCTGGATGGTGTGAGCTCCATGTAGGTATTACACTGGGGCTCCATGAAACTCTTGTTTCTCCTCACAAGGTTCTAGCTTGTGTTGAATTTCGTGGGTGATGGAGACTGTGAACCATTTCAGAGTTGGGTGTGTGGTCCTGGGTGCCAGGCATCCTCTTAAAAGACAGCCCAAGTACAGGCCACACAGAGTACCTAAGAACCAGGTGTGTGGACAGACAGGTCTGAGAAGGCCAGCAGCACACCTACCCTCTCCCACCATCCATTAAGCATGTCCTCTGTACCTGTTCCTTTAAACAGAACACATTAACCGAGGAAACAATTCTGTACGGCTAACAGGGTTTCAACAAATATGTGGAGATTATTTAGTTTATTTTAGTTTATGTTCTGCTTTAACTGAAGGAAAATAAAAACTGTCATGATGAATAAGTATTTCTGTCCTGATTTAAGTGTGGTTAATGAGCAGGTACTAATCTCAAAATAGCATACTAGAAAAGGTGAGCAGGGAAGTTAATAAAACAATTTTTTTTCAAACTCATTAGATTTAGAAATAAACAAAAGAGCAGCATCAGAATAATCCAAAGTTGTGCAGCAGAAACCAGAATGCCTAATGCAAACATGCTCATACTCTTAGATACACAGTGGGAGAGGCAGACTCAGCACAATTGGATATGTGTAATAATTTGTAACGTGAAATCAGAGGTGAGAAACTGGGAGTGGCTTATAGGTGAAATAGCGGAGATTTGTTAGCCTTACACAGTAACATCACACTTAAAAACACAAATCCTTCATAATTCATCATATCATCAGATAACATGTATTAGATACAGCCCCTTTACCATGTTCCAGCTGTAAGGAACATGGTAGTGGGTTTAAAAAAACAAAAGGGCTCCTTCCAACATAATGTTAACCAGGGGACCCACTGACTTTCTCAGATCATCTGTAAAAACCCAAACACAGGCCTAACCACCATGTGTAGGTAGTAGGGCATCACCACACAAAACAGAGGCCAGCATATGGGAGACCCGGGCTCAGATGCCGGTTAGGCTGAACGTGTCAGGGCCAGGCACTTTTGTAGAAGGCTGAGAGAGGGAGGAATCACATCGCAGAGAGACCCTATCAAGGGTATACCACCCTCAACCATGAAAGAAGCTCAAAAAGCAAAAACAAACAACAAAACTCAAACATGCCCAGGGGGGTAAACAGGTGTGCACGAGCACTACCCTAAACAGAGTACCCCTAGTATGAATCTCTGCAGTCTGGTGGCTCCCAATTCATAAGGTTCCTTTGGTGGGAGGAAAAAACCCTCTGGCTAAGTGGAAAATGCGAACTGTAATGATGTTATCATGTAAGACCCAGATTGTTGAGGTCCTTGCAATAAGACAGTCAGCATATGCTATTTTTAGGGGGGATATTGTATAAAACCTTCTTTAGCAAAGGAACCTACCAATGTATGGCTGAGGTGAGGAGACTCCAGACCCCTCTGAAGAAAGGCCATATATTGGGTGACCCACATGAAATGTACTTCAGAGCATCCTCTGACCTGCAGAGGTTGTCGGGGTCATGGGGAAGAGATTGGTGGTTTGCACAATGTTTTTTTTTTTTTTTTTAAAGACATAATGCTCAAAGGTATATTTATTTAAAATAAGGATAAAGTTCAAATTTCCATGTATATTTCCTTTAAACTGTAAAGAGTAAAATATTATATTGTAGATGATTAGGGTGATAATTTCTAGGGGGAAAAAAAGAAATAGATAAAACATGCAGAATCGATGAACCAGAATGTTCATGAACTAGAACAAATGCTAACATAAAATCATAACTAATCAGCCTGTTTTACAAATAAAGACAAGGAAGCTTAAGACCTGCCTGGTCTGGCAGCACCCAATCCAGACATCGAGCTGAACTGAGCTGTGCACCACGGCTTTCTGCACGTGCTCATGAGTGCATCTGTGTGTGGCTGAAAATAGGAAAATCTACAAAGAAACCCCAGACTGTGGTCAGGGTCATGACACGCCTGTGGCTGGGCCGCTGCACAGAGCAGAAAGCAATCCCAGGGAGGAACAAGCATGGGTCAAGCCCCTGAGAGAAAACAGCCCCCAGTGGGCACACTCAGTGCGATCAATCATTTGAAAACATAGTTTGCTTAAACAACACAGCTGACCCTTAGGAGAACCATAAAACAAACAGGGGTGAGGATCAAAGCATGTGACATCTGGTCCCAGGCACTTGTCTTTCAAGGCTTCCTGATGGCGGTTTCTGAGTTGAGAGGAAAGTGGCCTGATGAGAACATGCTGAACTACAGAGAAGTGAGCATTTTGACTGAGTTCACTTTATTGCCTGAAATAAATTATATTTACAACCTAATTCATGGTGGTATTCCACCAATACTATTAAATTTCATGTCGCAAATGAAAATACTGGATATAGATGTATCACTGTCATAAAAATCCTAAAATGGGAGTAAAAATAGGGATAATTTAAAAATCTGGTCGGCAGATATTCAAATACACTGACGGTTGGTATTTGCCAAGTGTCATCAATATGAAATGGTTCATACTGGAAATCACAATCACTGCCTTCTATAATCTAGCTTATTATTTCAGAAGAGACTTCGTTCATCTTAACCTCATGGCCCACAGGACCTACAATCAAGAAGGGATTTGCTAGGAGCCAGCAGATGGCATAGTAGTTAGGGTGCTGGACTCCCACATGGCTGATTGCGGTTTGAGTTCTGGCTCTGGTGACTTGAAACTCATGCCGGGAGTGTGTGCAAGTGTGACAAAAATCCAAGAAGAATGGAGACGGGATAGTGTCATGGCCATCGCCCCTGGGGGGGGGGGGTGATTTCTCACCTTTCCTCTCACTCTTGCTCTCTGTCTTTCTGAAGAATGCATGCACCCTCTGGCAAAGAACTTAAAAAAATATTAATAATAAAGAGTGAATTTTCCAGCATAGCTAGCAAAGATCATGAAATGCCGAGGCCTTCTGGATTCTCAGCTGACTTGATTTCTGCAGTTTTCTCCCGTGTGACTGCTACAGGTGAAACCTTGTCTGGAGGTTTAGAACATGTGGCTCCTTCTCCAGGGGCAAATCTCAGTCTGGACCTCATTAGTCCAAGCCACATGCTGTGAGACCCTGGTCTTCCCATCGCACATCTTGACCAGATCAAGCCAAGGTTGTAGACTGTCCTCAAGCTTGGAGCTCAGAGACCCAGGCCCCCATAGTTCACCAGCTCTGACTGAGCTTTTAGCTCAAAAGAAAAACAAGAAAAATGAAAACTAAAATGAAACTTCAATATCCCAAGCTAATTTGATTTAAGTAGGTTGTAAACCAAGGGGCCGAAGAGATTTCCATCTTACATTAGTGAGTTTTAAAACCTCATATGGGGAATGGCAGGTGACATGGTAGTTAAGGGTGCAGGACTCCCACAAGGCCGACCACTTTTGAGTCCCAGACCTGGTGGCTTGCTTTCTCCCTCTCTCTCTCACTCTATCCCTCTCTGGTCATAAGTAAATAAATAAATAAAGTCAAATAAAATAATTATTAAAAAATTAAAATAAAACCTCATACGAAAAATTTATATTCTCTGATGGACAACATATTTCTTGAGGCTATCTCTGATGTCTGGCCACTTCCCTGAAGCCTACATGGTCACATACATGGAAGGGGTTCAGGAAATTCGTTCCTGCCTCTACTACTTGTTCTAAACATTGCTATAGGAAAATGAGCACTTAATATACCTTTCCTATTGACAGGAGTTAATGCATGATTTGATATTAAATATTGGCCAATGTTGGTTTTTATAACCTATTATCCATGATCCATGAATTACTCATAAAGTATACTGTAAACAGGCACAAGAACAGAAAATCTCAAATGAATGTTGAAACAGGTATCTTGTTATAATGCAGGAAGTGTTATTTCAACAAGAATTTTAACTATACATTTTAACTCAATTTAATAGACATCTACAGGTATCTAAAAATAAAATAATTTTGTAGACACATATACATATCTAAATACTCTCACTGCTACAAAATGAAGCATAAAGTATTTTTTAAAAATAATATAATTTTAATTTTCAAAAATCAGTTTTTATAAAGAAAAATGAAGGGGCCAGTCGGTGATATGGTGGTTAAGGCAACTGAATCCCACATGGCCAACTGTACAGTTTGAGTCCCAGATATGGTAGTTTGAAAAACATGCTGTGTGCTTGGTTATGCATGCCCAAAAATCTGGGAGGAAAATGGTGAAGAAGAGATTATCCTCCTAGGGGATGCTTTCTCTCTCTTTTCTCTCTCTTTCTCTCTCTCTAGGGAGTGCACACATCCTATAGCAAAAAAAAAAAAAAAAAAAAAAAAGGGAAAAAAGAAAAAAAAAGGCAGAAAAAAAAAAAAGGAAAAAAGAAAGAAAAAGGCAGCAAAATAAAAATATCAGTAATTACTTTCTATAAACTGACATTACTGGAAGATTCACTAATGCATTTTACTTTATCCCAG